TTGCACACCTTATAAGACCACATATACTCAAATTTTAAGTTATGAAAAGTCCCATGAGCCTTTGCTGCTGAGCATACGCTGAATTATCTCCAAGTCCATGGGCTGAAAAAACATACAAAAGAATGTGGGCAACCACACTGGCTGTTCGCTTAATCATAAAAAATACAACTTTACTTGAAGTATTTGCATTTTGTGTATTATATTATTGCATTTGGCCAGCCATTCTCAGATTGATTGTAATCTTGGCCCTCTCAGGGAAAATTTAGAACTCAGACTTTTATTCGAAGTATTTTCAGATAAATGTCAGCAGTCTGACTTGAAAATAAGCAAAATGCCTGAATTAAAAACTGAATTATAATTAATTAAGTTTTTAATTCGGGCATTTTTAAAATCAATATTTTAAAAATCCCGCTGTGTCTCTGATTCCCGGCCTTAGTAAAACGCTGAGTCAGCACTCACGAAGTCCAAACACAGCGGCAGGAAGAGCGCAGTGAGCAGAACCGGGCAGCACCACGGACAGCGCCTCGCCCTGCAGCACCGAGCCGAGGCACGAGCCTCTCTCTGCCCCCKGCGCGTGCTGCGGAAACCTGAGCTGACATTTAAAAACACAGAAAGGGCTCTCCCTTTAATGAGGCGCACCTGCGTTAGCAGCTCTGACGTCACCGCTCTTCCGCTCGTGCCCAGCTCGTGACTCACAGGCGGCGGTGTAAAAAAAGAAAGTTGACTTGTAATAACCTGACGACGTAAATGTTGGTTTTTAGTTATGCTTGATTCATTTACTGTAAAAAATGAGAACATTAAAGGGTGTTTTGCTCGCTGTGGTGTAGTTACGCTAATTAGCGCTCACTGTTGCCTTGGTTACGACAAAGCCACATTARCATGGCGCTAACTTGACTGAGCCGCTCCAGCCTCTTTGTTTCATGGGGTTCCTCCGCTCTGTTTATTGGCTCAGAGACTGTCCGTCCTTTTTTTTTTCCTCCACTACAGCACCTCCTCCTCCTCCTCCTCCTCCCCACCCAGCCCCGCACCACACCAGCTCCTGTCTCTTCTCGGAGGAGCGGCGGGGCTGAGATGTGGCTGCGGTCCGCTGACTCTCCCTTCCTGTGCAGCCGTGTGTCGGAGAGGAGCGCCCGGGATCCACGGCGATGYGCTCCGGCGGCGGGCTGAAATAAGAGGGAGTCGCCCCGGGAGGGGAGCCAGGAGACCAGGAGTAAAATAAAAATACAAACAAACTGCAGCGGAGGAGATTTTTTTCCTCAGGAGGATGACTGAATGCTGACAAAGAAAACAGGGAGCCCCTCTGGCTTTGTGGACACCCTAACCTGAGAGACCCGCTGATCTCTGACACACATTTTATATTAATACGAGCTTCAGGGGGGAACCATGCCTGTCCGGAGAGGGCATGTTGCGCCACAAAACACATTTTTAGGGGTGATTATCCGGAAATTCGAAGGACAAAGTGAGTACCTGCCTTCCTTTTGTTTACTTTCACACCAAAAGGCCTTTTAACTGCTAATTATTACATCCACACTCTGCTTCTGTGTTCAAACCTCACTGGATTAAAATAAGATTTTTAAATAGATGTATTAAAAGTGCCTTATTTTTTTAAAAAAAAAATCTATTTCACAGAAAATTACCACAAACAAGTGTTTCCTTCACGTTTTTACCACTTTTAATACTTATCAAAAGATTTTCCGAATAAAAAAGGGTGAAAAGAAATTTTAAAGCTTTTGCAAGTGTTTCAGTGGGATCACAGCAGTAACTATGCACCTGTGCCTCTTCTATAAAGACAGGCAGACAGTAAKGCAGACTCAAAATTAAGCCTCAAACACTAATTTTAGAAAAAAAAATAATTTTACAAAAACTTGAAGTTGTACTGAGAAAAATTCCTGAACTGTGAGCCGAGCCAGTCACTGCCTAACAGCACTTCTTTAAAGACAGGCAGACAATAACGCAGACTCAAAATTTAAGCCTCAAACACTCATTTTAGGAAAAAAACAAATCATTTTACAAAAACTTGAAGTTGTACTGAGAAAAATATCTGAACTTTGAGCCGAGCCAGTCACTGCCTAACAGCACTTCTTTAAAGACAGGCGGACAATAACGCAGACTAAAACTTAAGTCTTAAAAAAAGCTGTCCTTTTACACAAACTTTGAGGTGTATAGTATTTAAAAAATCCTAAACTCTGAGCTCCACTGGTAACTCCCTGTATGGAGCAAAAATTAGGAGAAGCAAAATTCTGTCTGAAAAGCTAAGTGCTATGTAGCAAATAGCATGTAGCTTTAGCTAAAAACCTAAAAGTAATGAAATTTGTTCAAGGTAACAAAAGGCTAGCTAAAAGTAGAGAAAATGGCTAGCAATAAAATATAAAAGTAGCAAAACACAAGCCACAAATAGCAAAATACTAGCTAAAAACAACAAAATGCTACCAAAACCAATTGCTAACAAGAACCCAAAATGCTGGCTAGAAGTGGTAAAACGCAACGAAAATAAAAAGTGGTGAAACACTAGCTAAAGCAAGTCACACTRACTTTAAATAGAGAAATGCTAGGTAAAAGCACAGCAATTAGCTAGCTAAAATGTTAAAGTAACAACAAGCTAAACAGCATTAGTGCTTCTTTAAAGACAGGCAGACAGTAATGCAGACTAGAARTGAAGCCTCAGATAAACAGTCTTTCTACAAAACCTCAGAGTTGATCTGAAACACACGTTTTGATGTGGTTTTGTCTTTTTCCCAAAGCTGTAAATCAAAAACCATGAAAAAATTGTAAAAATTGTTGTAAGTTTAATTTTTTTTTTCAAATGTGTTGAAGTATTACTCTGTTCTGTTGGTATGTTTTTATGCTCTGCTCATATTTTAGGCGTCTCTTTTGTTTAAATGTACTCATTTGATGTTGTGGTAAATTAACTGACGCTCTCACCCTCTCTGTGTCCCAGATAAGAAGTTCCTCATAGCCAACGCCCGCGTGCAGAACTGTGCGATCATCTACTGCAACGATGGCTTCTGCGAGATGACGGGCTTCTCCAGGCCGGACGTCATGCAGAAGCCGTGCACGTGCGACTTCCTGCACGGCCAGTTCACCAGCCGGCACTCTGTGGCCCAGGTGGCCCAGGCACTGCTGGGCTCGGAGGAGCGCAAGGTGCAGATCACCTACCACCGCAAGGATGGTGAGTGTGGCTCTGTGTGTGCACACGGGCGGGTATTCCCTRCTATGTGGGGACAATGTTTTGCCATACACACGTACTTGTGGGGACCAATTGGTATTTACTGTATGTGGACCTAGTCCTCATGAGGGAAATGTCCGTAGTGGGTCAGGAGATCAGTTTAGAACTAAGGTATGAATTGAGTTCAGKTTAAGGTGAGGCTGTAGAAATCAATGGAAGTCAATGCAAAGTCCCCATGAATATAGCTAGGCCATGCGTGTGTGGGCTCAGGTGGTCCATGCAGCACCTGATGTGCAGCTGCTGCATCAAGTTGACTTCAAAGAGCCCGTCGGCTGGCATGTTGATCCGTTTCCAAAAAGGAATCAACTTTCCTTTTTCTGTTCTTAGGTTTAAAGAACTGGTTAAAAATCTTTATCCCCTAATAATGCTTCACGAATGGTTACTGTTGCTTCACTCTTTTAAAATCAGAGCTTTGCAGTGGGCTCATCTCTAACATGTCAATAACAGCCGCTGTGAAGGGAACCCTGACGAGTTGYAAYATTACACATTATTTGATAAATGTTTACTTYGACTGTAAAACAAAGACTGTAAAAGTAATGTAGGATGTTTAGCTTTTATTAATGGAAAACAGTTTTTTGTCACACGGACGTCACCATGTTCTTCACACCGCAAAGCATTCTGGGTAAATGTTGTAAACCGGGTGCTCCGGTGAGAGACAACAGAGCTGCTTCATGGAGGAGAACCTCAGCTTTAGACTGTTAGCTTTACCRTTAGCTTCAGAGCTAATTACTAAACATCACACCTGATTGTTGATACAGAATATAACTTTATCACACATTATAGTTTTTTAGCCTTGACACTCGTAAGTCTCAATTGCAATTCATCTTCATCATCATCATCATTATCCCCAGAATGAATCACGTCAATACCATAATGGTGACATGATAAAGTGAAAAATGTAATAAACATTTACAATTTATTTTAAGTAATTATGAGTTTTTASGTGTCACAAACAGCAACTTTTAGTAGAACAGAGAAATAACAACATATTAAGAGCAACATGTGGCAGTAGTTCCACGGTGGGTAACTTCTAGTCCGAGCTGGACCTGGAAGGTTTGGCTGGATCTAATCTGTAGAAGGGTAATCAGCTGTGAAGGTTTTCTTTGTGGTGAAGTCAGGTTTTGAAACGATGCAGAGCCTGAGTGAACCGGGAGAGAAGGTCATTAGCCCAGATGCTTTGGGAGGGATGCAGCCTGTGTCCCTGCAGACCTACAGCAAGATGTACGGTTCTGCTTCTGATCCCGACAGTTTTAGGTTCCTGTACGACACCCTGAGCACCTCTTATAACGGAGACCATGTTCGACTCCAAGCATCTGTTCTGATAATAAACAATTATATATAACATGGGCGAGTTTAGAAAAACGTGTGTGTTCTGAAACAGGACATTAGTTTCTGATTGTCTTTTTATTATTGATGAGTATTAATTAATACAGCTGTGGGACTTATAGGATTTGCAGTGAAAATCAATAAACTCCACTTCAGTGGTTCCGAAAAATTATTGGATTTTTTTAGATGAGTTATTAGCAGGCAGAGGAAGGAACAAGACCTTCCACTTTCTGTCATTTAAAGACTGGAATTATAGGAGAGAGAGAGAGAAAAAAGACACCGTGTCCTCAACTGAAACACTCTGTCCTCAGCTGAAACACTGTGTCCTCAGCTGAAACACTGTCTTCAGCTGAAACACTGTGTCCTCAACTGAAACACTCTGTCCTCAACTGAAACACTCTGTCCACAGCTGAAACACTGTCTTCAGCTGAAACACTCTGTCTTCAGTTGAAACACTCTGTCTTCAGTTGAAACACTCTGTCCTCAGCTGAAACACTATGTCCTCAGCTGAAACACTGTATCCTCAGCTGAAACACTCTGTCCTCAGCTGAAACACTGTGTTCTCAGCTGAAACACTGTGTCCTCAGCTGAAAGACTATGTCCTCAGCTGAAACACTATGTCCTCAGCTGAAACACTGTATCCTCAGCTGAAACACTGTATCCTCAGCTGAAACACTCTGTCCTCAGCTGAAACACTGTGTCCTCAGCTTAAACACTGTGTCCTCAACTGAAACACTCTGTCCTCAGCTGAAACATTCTGTCCTCAGCTGAAACATTCTGTCCTCAGCTGAAACATTCTATCCTCAGCTGAATCACTATGTCCTCAGCTGAAACATTCTATCCTCAGCTGAAACACTATGTCCTCAGCTGAAACATTCTATCCTCAGCTGAAACACTATGTCCTCAGCTGAAACACGGTGTCCACAGCTGAAACACTGTGTCCTCAACTGAAACACGGTGTCCTCAGCTGAAACACTGTCCTCAGTTGAAACAATGTGTCCTCAGCTGAAACACTATGTCCACAGCTGAAACACTATGTCCTCAACTGAAACACTCTGTCCTCAACTGAAACACACTGTCCTAAGCTGAAACACACTGTCCACAGCTGAGACACTGTCCACAGCTGAGACACTCCTCAGCTGAAACACACTGTCCTCAGCTGAAACACACTGTCCACAGCTTAGACGCTGTCCTCAACTGAAACACACTGTCCTCAACTGAAACACACTGTCCTCAA